TCGTCATGACCAAACTGTATCTGTCTAATCAGAACTTCTCTTCCCAATACATACTTAGCTGAATTAGAGGGTGGTGGATATTGTATTAAGTGTTGAGATAACCGTGGTATGGGAAGCTGTTAATATTCTCACCCTGTATCATAATACCAGTTTGCTAAACCACAGCTATCTCAGATAGTCCCATCAAAACTGTGTATAGTATTTAACTGTTTACCATTTAATTGTCTGTGTATATGAGTTCTTTTGATGTCATCCTGAATCTTTTGCTGCTGGTTTTGTCTACAATGAAAATTTAGAAAAAGCTACACAAATACATCATCCAGCTCATAAAATACAATATTTGGATTCATCTTAATGACTCACAGTGGAATCAAGAACGTGAGTTTCGTCCTATTTAGGATTCATCAGCCGAATATACTTGCACGTCGGACCCAGTGCCCATCGCTTCAAACGCCAAAACAGATACATCCAACTGACGAGTTCTAAATAGGATGAGATAAGGGTTCTGGATTCCACTATGAGTCACTAAGATGAATATAGCAGCATGAATATTCGGCAGTATCAAGGTATCTACATAGGAGCCCACCTGTCAACAGGGGTCGAACACTTCGACCCTATACAGCAACAACACTTGAAATAAGGTATTATTTCTCAGCTTGTATGTTTATATACTACCCTTTTTCATAAAGTCTGTGAAAACTAAAATGTTTCTTAACATCACTTTTTCACCATCTTTATTCTATGGGATGATGAATTTACATTTTGATATTTCTCTTATGAGTCACTTCTTGTGGATAGGAAAAAAATCTGTGAGATTCTAAACACTATCAGTGAATATTTCAAGATGATTTTTTCCAGTTATCATCTTTATAGCATGACAAGTTTTTTAACAGTCATAAAAACTGGTACCTAACAACAAACTGTGTAAATGACAAAGAACAGTTAAGTGAAATCGATATCACTAACAGTGAATGACGAGCGCAAAGAATGTATTGATTTTACCCGTTAGCTGAGGGGAAGGGATATGATGAAAAGCCTTTTTAAACTAGTTTTTAATAATACGTAGAAGATTTTGATTTATCCGATGGCGATTTATGTCTAATGTCTTGTCGCATAAAACTTGAAGATCTACAGGCGAAAACCAACAAGTTGGCACAACAGGGAAGAAAGCGAAGACGGAAATTCCTTCAGGTGAACGTAGAGAAGACAGAGGTGATGAAGATATACAACCAACAACAACGACACCAATAGCAAGCACAAATCACCATCAACGGGAGAAAACTAAACGAAGTAGTCTCTTTCACCTAGTTGCCTATGCAGCATCGTTTCAGCTGCAAGAGGTGCCACATGAAGACGCCAAAGCCAACCAGGGTCGGAAAGACAACAAGACAGACCTTCCTGTATTAATCCGAAATCAGTGTGGAGATCTACCCCACTGCACTGTACTGCACTGGACTCAGCATAAAGCGTGAACAATATCCGGATTGTCAACACTAACTGAGTGAAGTAAGTAAGTGCTTCCATGTGACGGTTGAGAGACTTGGCACGTTACGAAAAGCGTTGGTAACAAACTGCAGACATACATCATCAACAGCTGTCTAAGCTCACTCGACACTGAAGATCAGATGGTCAGAATAATAAGAATAAGCAGAAAGGAACTGTGGCTGACTGGCAACGAAGCAACCACGAACCCATCGCCCAAGAAATATACAGAAGGAGAAAGTGGAGATGGATTGTATTAGATGCATACTGAGAAGACCACTAGGGGACATCATGCTCGAGGTCCTCAAGTGTAACCCAAATGGGAAATGACGAGTTGGGCATCCGAGGTGAAGGTGACATGGAAGAGATTGTGCGAGGAAGAAATGAAGGTTTCTGGGCAGTGGTGGAGGCGGTAGGTGTGAAAGACTGGAGAGAACAGAGTGAAATGGAGGCGTGGTAATGAAGCCCTATGTTCCACTAGAAACGCAAAGGACATAAAATAATGATAAAAATAGAAGACGTAGAATCTGACGTCTTATCAAGCTTAACAAACCTAGATCACTTCTCATGATTACTTGAAATACTGATTCTAGTTTAAAGTCGGTGATGAATCATCGATTGTTTAATAACGAGAAACTACATGGTATTCAGGTATCTTAGTCGAGTTAATGTCGATATTGGTCAATAAGTTTGAATGGTGTCATTACTTCGAGCCTGACTCATGAAATACCATTCGTTTCGACTTAACTTATCATTGACAGAGGTAACCCCTAAGTTTGTTAGCTGAGGCTATCATATATGATTTAATTAAATGATCAATAAGTTGAAACTTATATCCTTATCTAAACGGTTATCAATAAAAAGAAATCTAACAGTAATGACTGTATCCGACTAGGAAAGGAATGCTTGGAGGAGTTAAACTATTGACACTGATAATTGTCTCTATTCCTCTTTTTTAACATTCTTATTGGATGAGAAGTATTCGTGTGGTAATGTTACAGCATGTTGTAGGCGAATCCCTGATCTAGTGTATTTTATAAATACTTTCTAAAATGATAGATAAGATGTTTTGAAAGACTGGTTTAATTAGCAAAAGCGTATAATTTACAAATGTTACCTGACCGATAGCTGATACCTTCACATTTTCGTTGACCTTACATATCACGAAGCCCCTACTAGTCATGCTAGCGGAACACTTGTTTACTTAAGATTCTGTTGTACCAGAATGGTTAGTTGAATAGTAGTAAGACGAAAAGCAGATACTATTATAGTGTACAATACAACTCTGTGAGTTTGACAGTCACCTATATGCCGCTCTACTGGAGGATGAGGTAAGGACTAAAAAGGGTAGTAAGACGAAGTTATCTGTTTGTAACTTCCTTACTCACCCACTGCTTACAGTTTGCGAGAGGGGGGAAATGAGTTATACTGAAATCTCCACTCCTCCTGGAGCTTGTTACTGGACAGCAACCGCACATACGTTCAAGCACGCCTATGCCCATACGTAAATTGACGTAGAAAGACAACGGTACCAAGACCTTTCCGAGTACACTTCGAAGATGAAAATAGTGAAGCTAATTTCTGAGAAAAACGGTCGTGGTAACAAAACAGCATCACTAAGATAGATAGAACCTGATGTCAACTATCTCAAGTCCTCTGTAAAAATCGCACTGAAGACTGCAAATGGTTCTCACTTGTAGGATAGATGACTGCAATGATAGGTGGTACACTTCGAGGGACAGCTTAACTCACCTCCAATTACTGTTCTCTTGCTCACTATTCAGTCAGATCCTGAATGGAACATTGACATAAGGCCCTCAACACTCGTAGAAGTCGAGAAGGCTGCAACCAGTGACCTCAAATGAGAAAGACCAGCAGGCCTAGCTGGATTGATACAGAAGGCAAGTAAGTGACTACAGTGGCAGCGGATTATTCTTCAGGTTAACTTAAATGTCAGCTAGTGCATGCGAGGCAGATGCATTACTCTCTGAGTCCACGTAACCCAAGCACTCATTGTACTAGGTGTCGATAAAGGTGAGAAATCAATCCTCTTCTCAACCACAGAGGAATCAATTTGATGAAGAAAGTATCTCAAATTCTAGGCTCTAGAACCACCAGACATCCTGGTAGAGATGGGGGACAGCAAGCGTGAGAGAATCACGCAGGTTGCATACCTGAACCTAACTCTATCGACCAGATATCCACTCTATACAAGGTTCTACAACACAGACACAATTACTGATGCCCAACACTAGCATCATTTCTTGGCGTGAATGTGGCATTCCACCCCATCGATCGAGAGGTCTCATGGCAGTTTCTCTTGGGTGGTAAGTACGCCACCCACTCCATTGATGGTTCTCTACTCGAACGTGGGGGAGCGTGCCACAGCCTATGTTCACTTATCAGGTGAGTTGTGTACAGAGAGCGAGTAGTCACCATCAACGATGTCCACTCCCTCCATTTCTACTAAATTTTATCACAGGTGCACCTATAAGAGACGTCTCATCCTCGCTGTCTGAACTTCCTCCAATTGATCTTATCACAGGAGAATTCTTAGCAGATGTACACTACACAGATGGCATATTTGTGTGAAGTGGACACGCTAACAAGATGTACAGTCATCTGGACACACTGAGTCGCAATTTGACAATCTTTACGGTCCGTTTGTAACCACACAAATGCAAATTATTGTTCCATGACTGATGTTCACCGTTGTCTTCCTTTTATAGGCAACAGTGAAGTGTTTGTCTGCGTTCACCATATCTGATACCCTACTTAGGTAGGAAGTCGACTCAGCCCCGATGTCTCAGTCACCATCGAAGTCTCTGCACGTGGATTAACTGCTGAAAGTATGAAGTAAAAGTACTCGTTACAATGAGTTCAGACTAAGCTGATGCAGTGAATTCCATACAGCAATGTACTTAACGTACTGATGTCAAATTGGTATGATTTTGGAATACACAAATAGGGATCAGAAGTCGAAACAAATGGAATTCATTAATTTAATTGTTCTTGAATAGTGGTGTAGAAAATTATCCTGCTAGAGATTTGCCAATAATCAGCCATGTAAGCAAGTAAATGAATATAGTCATATCAGTCTTTATCGAGAAATTTGTGATCCTACGAAAACACACTGTATTTACTGGTAATACATAGGTTGAAAATACACCAAATCCCTAAATAAAATAGTTTTACTCTGACCGTAATGCGGTAATGCCAGATCCTATGTTGGTATTGCCTGTCTTTCTGTGTCATAAATGTTAAATAAAGGGATATTGAATATGTTAAATGTTTGAATAAGCTATAGATTTTATTATCGACAGCTTAGGGTGAATACTCACCTACAATGATCGGTTGTTTTAAAAAAGTAAATTGTATTATATTTCAAACAAAATTAGCGCTGTTGTATGACCTTGAGAATTGTTAAAATTTCACCTGAAATAATAAATTAATTCATTTCACAAAGCACATCAACTCTACATCAACATAATCATATTGATTTTATTTTCGTGTTTTAGGTACTTCTAATTGGTCTGGTGATTATTTCCTTTATACCGGTGGAATTGCATTCATCTTCGATGATAATCAGTCATTATCCAATCCATATGGACCTGTGAATTATGAACAATGCTCTATTCCAAAGCCAGTTAGTATACGACAACAGGTGGAAAATTTATTCCGTCGAGATTGGAATTCAGAATTCGCCTTTGAAATATAAATCATTCAGGTATAATCCCACCTATTATTAACCAATGAATTTTGAATGACCTTGATTAAATGTTTGGTTTATTTTGAAATTTTTGTATTGTATTGATTTAACGGATTTTTATGTGTATCAGCCTTTACCTCCGTCATGAAACTGCTTTATGACGTGCCAAATGCTGAAATTCATGTTAAGTTTCTATGCAATATTCCGAAGTAAAATAAATATTCATTTACTGCTTACATCTCTGTCTTCTCTATTTCTTGGCCAAGGAAAATCAGCAACAGCTTTGATTAGGTACAGGTGAATTTCATGAAGGCAATGAACAAACATTGACATCATCAGTTAAATAAAAGATGATTGTTAGTATTTAAGAAGCGTTGACCAAGTATTTTTTTTTCAGTTTAGGCTTCATTTTAGTCTGAATTTAATGCAAGTTATCTTGATAGTATCGAGTCATAATCAGTAACAAATTTTCAGAACGTTTTCTTTATACTTTTCGGAACTCATCAAGTAAGTGTTGATGTGGCAATTTAGTCTCCTACTTTTCATCGAAATGTTTGTACATAAAGCCCACATATTAACAGGGATCCATCATTTCGATGTGATAGGTCGACAGTGAGAGATATCAAGTAATACTAACAAGCTTTATCGGTTTCATAAGTGGTAGGCTAGTAAATAATCCTAGGATACTTAAAACAATGATTGCTGAGAAGGAGTTTGAATCGAAGCAGAAACTCTAACTGAAATCTAGATAAGTCTAACTGTGAAATATTCCAGTCTGGATGAAGTGGATATGCTAGTATCTACTCCCTGACCACAACTCAAAACTGCACAGAGTTCATATCCTAGTAGGGGCTTGTCAACTCTCCTTCAAAGACATCAACCGGGTTTTGTAAGACATCATTCTAGAAGATAATCCACTACATTTAGTAGCTATCTTATGTTGAATCTGATAAAATTTTAGGCCCACGATTCAACTGGGTTTAAATGAATTTTGTGGGCGATTATAAATGCCACCCTAGCAAAGATCAAAATAACGAGTGACTTTAAGGGACCATTTTAATAACTTATGAGACAGGCAATTACATTTTTTGTTTTATGGAAAAGTACTTTCCCAGGTCAAATACCGAAGCCTGATTGGTCATTCCAGTAGTTGCTTGGGCGGCCTTTGAAGTTACTCGAATTTTACTGTATGTGGTTAGACAGTTTGGAGATAGAATACTATTCAGTTTTCTAATCATATTCTAAAGTATTTTTGCTTTAAAAAAAATTAAACCGTAACCAGTGGAATTACCAAACATCTCGTTGATACAAAGTAGCAATTTAACTCTACTAGGACTCTTAAATACTAAGTGTTCAAAAAACGTTCGAACTACTACCTTTCAAGAAGTCAGTACTGTAGAACGCTTTCAGCTGAACCTGTGTACATACAGGAAGAGACTTATCAAGCTACTCTTTCAAAGTGACTGTGATTCTATTTTGTTTCATTTTAATTGTACAATTCTTCGTTTTACTCTTTTACCGATTTCAACGTGCTGGGTTGGGTGAACACATTTCTTTGTGTGTTACGTAATCAGCTAGTTATTTATTTATTTCCTAATGAAACATACTACTACTGAACAACTTAAGTAGTTAGAAACCATTCAGATTGACTTGTCGATATCATCGGGCAACCAGAACATAGTCATCTGAACAGCGGACGTACGTCTCACAAAATAATACACATCAGCCTTAGTGGTTTCGAACTACTCAAGTTGTTCAATAGTAGTATCTTCCTGTAGTTCATGACGCTTTTGTGTCAGAGATCATACTTTGTGATCTCAGCTGAGTGGTTTTCAACGGAAACCTTGTAGATACCATAGCTGGGCAGCTGAAAACTATTCAGCTGTGAGAAATGTCAAGATGTACAACTGACTGTTTTTCCTTTCTCAATATTTTGGATCCCTTAGTTTTACAGTACCCTTTTATAGTAACACCTAATATTGTGTATTTGATGTATATGGTTATATAACTTCATCTGAATAGCTATTGTAACTTTACACTGTATGCAGCTGATGAATATTTGTTAAAGTGCAGCGGATACCTTAATGGATAGTCATGCTATATCGTGAATGGTAAAAAGGCAAACAATTGAGGACCATCGGCTAACGTATTTGTTGTGAAACCTGAAGGTCCTGAGTTTAATCCCTGGTGGGACGGAATTGTGGGTGCATATTAACGAAGAGTCCCGTTTCAGGATCGAACAACTGTCCAATCCTACCAAGTTTTCAATCGTTATCTAAATAATGTCAATTTATGATGAATACTACCTTGAAATAAATAATAATAGCTTTATTCTGAAACGTATTTCGGGAATACCCTATAGAATTTTCAGCACATTATTCAGCATCAGTTGTACAAAAACTGTGTATACTTGTAAATAGCAAAATGAAATAAGTGTAAATTACATATGAAAGATAAGATTATTCAATCTATCTACAACTTTCTTGAAAATGTAAAGTTAATTTAGTTAGAAGGTCTAGAGGTATACCACCAGTTCTGCTGACAGTCTTCAAGGTTCTACACAATACAGTACAGACTTTTCCAAGTGACCCAGGAAAGAATAAAGGAGAGCAATAGCGGAGAAGAGGCACGATGCAGGAGTTTGTAAAACACAAGAGGAGAGGCTGATTTATACCAGATATACTCAGCTTCCTAATATAGAAAGTTAGGCGGAAAATTCTTTTGGAAATTAACAACATATGGGAGGAGTAGGAAAGGTCCAAAGAAAAACATACACCGAGATAAATCTCACTTGTAACATTCTCTAATATACAGTCATCAATAGGACAAGGAATCATAAAATCTCAGCAAAGTTTACATAAGTTATGTTAGCGTTTAAAACTAAAGTTTATGGTCTGATATTTTGGCAGAATTAAGCTTGAAATCTTTCACGGAGTACCATCGTCTAACAGTTGGGAACAATTTGTTGAAGAGGAGGCAGGTTATCAAGAACTTAGCTTGAGTCTTGTTTAGCTTGTTCAACAAAACAGATCTTGGAACAAAATCAAATGGTGATGTATAGTCTAAAAAGGCATATCTGACATACTTGGCATCTCTATCAAGATTACAAGCAATATTGTGATATAAGACAGTTGTGGCATCCAGAGTGTTTCTTTTGCTTTCATACACAAATTGATTTGGGTCTCCGACAGCCTTCGATGAGGGTTCAAGCTATTTCGAACTTTACTAGAAACAATCCTTCAATTGTCTCTGTTAAGAACTTTTCTTCATATAAGCGAAATGTTTTGTCCATTCACCTTCTTTTTACAGACGTACTATTTCTTCATACTTCAGATTTGTTGATACTATGTTTTTTGATGGTGTGACATTGTGTAAATAAATTTTATGAATATCATCATAAAATTTACTTTCAACAATTGATAGATAATGTTTTTTTTTCAAAAAGATGCATTGATTAAGGGTGTTCAGTATGAATTCAAAAGTTCTCATTTATTCATAGTGTAAACACTTTGATTCATGATGATAAGTAAGATTGATACAGTCATTTACAAGTTTTCACAAAAAGTTAAGAGACTATTGATTTTGTTTTTAAGAAAATCAGATTTAGGGGGATTGACTGATATTTCAAGGGATTATTCATTAAGTACGGACATCATTTGGAGAACCATTGGAAACCTAGGAGTACTAGACAGCTGTTTCGTTCCAGTATGAGACTGTTTACTTCTATATGGTTCAGAGAATTGGCACGTTACGAAAAGCATTTCCAACAAACTACAGACATACATCATCAACAGCTGCCGTCTACGCTCACTTGAAACTTAAGATCAGATGGACAGAAAGAATGAGCAACAAAGAATTCTGGCCTGGCAACGAACTAACCAAGAACCTATTGTCCAACAAATATGCAGAAGAAAGAAAGTGGAGATAGATTGGGCATACACCTAGAAGATCATTTGAGGACATCATGCGTCAGGCCTTCAAGTGGAACCCAAAGGGGAAACGATGAGTTGGGCGTCCGAGGGTGACATAGACTAAATGGTGTGAGGAGGAAATGAAAGGTTATGGCAGTGGTGGAGCCAGGTTAAAAAATAAGACTGGAGAGAAGAGAGTGAAATGGTGGCGTGCTAGTGAAACCCTATATTCTAATGGGAACCCAAAGAACAAATAAATATAGTAATATAATGGGACTCTTCAGTTGTACACACCTACGACCCTATCATGAGCTGAATCAGTTAGGTGTACATTAACATGTAGTGAAAATACACGTAGTAGTAAGGTTAAAATAGAAAAATGGTGAGGGTTAGTAGTTGTACGGAAAAGTTGGATCTTCGATGATAGGTGGGAGGTGATGTACGAACGATGCAAGTTATAAACTAGTAAAATCCCAAAGTGAAGCAAACTAGATGGTTACTAGGATGAACGAAAAGAAATAGATTTTGAAGTAATTTTTCGCACTTCTCATATAACCTAGTTGGTCATGCGGTGAATGGAATAACCACAAAAGATATTTGCAAACAGATTATGTAGCTATTGTATGTTAACTCTTGAGCAAACTAAAGTTTATTAGCTTGCTTATGGAAGTTTTGCTTACAGTGTCTAATACACTTTAGCTCCACAGAAGCAGATGAAATAATTGATCCTATTGACACTAATACAATTAACTGAGATTCAGCTTTACTTCGTTTCATACTAGTCATACTTCTATCATCGTCACAAAAATTCGACATGTTTTATGAATCACATCCAGCTTGTGATTTGCATCTCTACTGGATTCTTCTCTCTTTTTGACCACCTCCTCTCTCTGTTTCTCTCTTTTTCTCCTATTCTAGTTTACAATTTTCAACTTTTCGAGAACCATATAGTTGACTGGCTTTTTTTTGACACATTTCGATTGCCTTATCTAGTTTTATGTATTAATGCAAACACCTATGTTTAATTGGTGGGTAACCTGTTTATTTAAATTTATCTCATAAATCCGAGAGAGAAAGAACGTTGTTGCTGTACCCGCATGAATAGCTTTGTTTGAAGTATTTTTGGTTTACCAGTAACTCAGTAGAATCATATACTTTCTAACCGGATCTACCGTTCAAGATCAATAGCTGAGATCATGTTTGGTTTAACTCACCAAACATCAAACACAAAACCCCGTTCCCGAGTGATCATATACGGTTTTTACTTTTATAGGGAAATGAATACTGGAAATATTTTCTAAAGTGGTACTTAGATGACCATCCGTGTCGCTCTTTTCCATTCAAACCACTAATGTATACTTTAACGTACTGCCTAGCTTTGAAAAGTTCCATTTCGAATAAAAATTTACTTCATCCAATCGGAGTGAGTACTTTCACTATTCGTAAAGCAAGTTTGTTTACTAGAAAACAATAGTGGCATAAATGATAGTCGACAGTATCTATTTGACAAGGTAAAACAGCAGCAATGATGACTTCATGCATAAACTCATATATATTATATAACAATGATGGATAGTGGCTAGCAGTGGAATCCAGGATGCCCATTTCATCCTATTTCGGACTTGTCAACCGGATGTACCTGCCTCTCAGTGAGTGATGTTGTTTCCACTGGGATTCGGATTCGGAACCGATCACTTCAAACACCAGAGCGTTATCCATTAGACCACCAAGGCACGACAATCACTTCTTATGCGACAGGTAGAATTTTAGTGTTATTGTTTGTATTACCCTGTCGCTGATTGGACCGAATTGATCGATCTCTATTGGTATATGGGCTACTATGTTAGAATACAACAAAACAGAAAGCAAAAAGCAATTCTCACTAAAATATATTTATTCAAATAGGTATCTGTTACATAATAAACACAAGAATTTAAAAAATAATTTTCCCATTAAACAATAGAAGAATGTGATTTAACCATCTCTATCATTCTGGCTTCAAATTATAAAGGATTACTCAAGATATCAGTAATCGTAAAATCCTTTTCAGAATCAACTATGAAATTTAATAATTCTGAAATCAGAGAAGAGACAGATTTCTGTTGTTTAGTTGCATAACTAGTTTACTTCTACGGAAAATGACTTACAGGAACAGATCCCAGTTGAAAAACCACAGGAAAGCAGATATCACTGAATAAATGATTCATTTTATCATTAAAAGTATTTGTAGTAATATGAAGTCTTGAAACGATCACACTACTGCTTGGTTAGTTACTATCAGAAGTGTTTAACATGTATGATCAGTGCTACCTGATATACTGTGGTTTATCAGCTGAATCAGGTTTCTAGAAAATCTTTTCAGTACATAAGAGTCTAATTGTTTTCTCTCACCTGTATATGTGATATAATTACTATCAGATCCATTTATTTTCTTCAAAATATCACCAACTATTTCTTCACTGAAGTCAAGCTCGAAATAACGTAAAATATTACGTATATCATCTTTTGATAATTTACCGTCACCTAAAGTGTAACAAAATGGTAATTCATTACATGGTAGCCGTGGTGTAATAATAACACAGCTGAATTGTAGAGTACACGTTGTCTAAATATGTGGTAAGATAAATTAAGTGTATGGTGAGTGACTTGTCTTCCCAGACCTTAAGAAGAGGGTTCGGTTTTGAACGTGTCAGTAAATAGTTTCCGTTTGAATCTATCATTCAAGTAATCCCAATAACTAAATTATATATTTAGTTAGAGTAAAACAAACTATTTACAAAGTAGAAAAGTGGTAAGATACCCTACTAAACACTCAACTATTCACTGGTACGTAAGAACATCCAGTTTATAGCTTCCAACTAAGTAGAAAATTGAGATAGATTCTTCTGTTGAACACCAAAATCTAAATTTATGTCTTATCCACGAGATTGATATAGTAGTAACAAATGTTTTGATGTCAGACAGACAGACAAATAGACAAGATCAATGTAGAACTTCGTACACGAGTGCAGCGGTTCAAGTTACTACGCTTAATAGTAGTACACAAAGAACAAGCTGATAGATAAAGAGTGATATCAAAGTAGACAAAGGTGCGTGACAGAATAAACCTTTTGACGATAACGATTGGTGCAAATAATCAAGCTTTAGACCTCAAAGAGTGAATAGATCTCCTCCCCTGTGACCGGTTTTTAACCATGTCAGTAGGAGTCCTCAACCACTGATTTCTTTCTACTCACGGATCCCGACCATGCAGTCTTCATCTCCCAACACAACTCAGAGCAACAGTAAGAGACTTCATCAAATGGTGCCACGTCTTGATCTAGCCGCCCTAAATCTTCTTCCAACCTAATCCAATTTCCCTCAACAACGCACGCCGAGGTAGACGCTGGCTCGACATGCGAAGTACATGTCCAAGCCATCTTAGTCGACTAAGGTTCACAACCATATCATTCGACTTGCCTGTCTTGTCTGGTACCCTTCGCTGGACCTCAATATTGCTCATAAGGTGACTCCACCGAACGCAAGCAATGCTATGAAGATATTTGTGATCAAAACCCTGTAACCGCTTCGTGTTTACTACTTTCAGCGGACATATCTCAGCCGTACAACAGAACACAACGAACTGCAACGCAGAATACTCATCTTCTGATACATAGTCGTATATCTCTCCAGCTGGCGCCACAGGTGGTTCAAGCTGACGAATGCCGAATGGGCCTTCCATATACAAACTAAGAATTCGTCACCAATCAGCCTGTTCCAGCTGATGCATCTTCCCAAGTGAACTGGTCGACAGTCAGGATTACCACATCTCATAGAACAGATGCGGAATAGTCTCAGTAGCGCAGTTGCTAAGTAACTGTTCAATTTTAAAACCATTCAGAGGAAGTTGGTAAGCAGAAAAGTGAATTCTTCAGTTCACTGAGGTCAGTGCAACTAAATCCCTAAAGACGGAACTATCTGTTCACTGATTCGGTAATATTATTTTTGATTAGATTTCTCAGTTTCCACTTCAGTTTCAACCCATTTAAGTTGCAATTTTTACATCTGAATACATTTTATTTCCCTATTACTACGTATGTGGTCATCTAGCGGTCAACTTTACCAAGACAATCTCTTTTTCTAAGTTTTATAGAGTTCTTGTTGCTACCCTATCTGTTTTCATCCAACGAGATTTTTCATTCAGGCAAGTGTTTACACTATATCAACTTTACCTTTATTGACACTAATTTTCTCTTCATTATGTTATTGTTTTGTCCGATTCCTACTCATTGACTGATTATCAAACTAAGAACTATTTTATAGTAAGATTTACTTTGACAACAGTTTGGTGTTCTCTGAACTTTAATAGGTTGTCATGAGTGTTTCATCATCTAGCTTTGTGATAAGGCTGATAACTTGTTCTTTTTAAGTTTATGCATGGCAGTAAGCATATGAAATATCGTTAAGTTCAGTAGTTAGTTCAATCAGTCAGTAACCAGATAGATAACGCCATAGCGTTTGAAGCTGCAGGTGCTGTTTTCAAGCCTGACTGGTAACACCATCACGATCATATAAGTACATTCGAAAGAATAGTACACGCTGAATTCCACTGCTAACCACTACTATGCAAATCGGTTATGCTACTTACTAACCACAGAGAAATTTGGTAGTGTTTTATCAAGAAAATGAAATGCTCATTAAAACTGGACAATCTACTTGATACTGGGGGATGATTGAAGGTGAAATGAAAATTTGGACTGTGGTGGTATTCGAACCACCGACCACCGGGTTCCCAGCTTGATGCTCTACTAACTGACCTACGAGGTCTGACTCCTCACCAGGTTTTTATTTTACTTCAATCACCAAGGGTTTTGCTCAATTATCATGTGAATTCGTTACGCGTTATTACCGCTTGATCATACTTCCACTGGCTGCCCAGTCACGACTTCTCATCCCAATCCAAATGTAAATGAATTAGAGAGGGGGAGTATCATAGTGATTATCATTTTTATTATCTGAGATAGTTGTGGTTTGGTAGATTAGTACTTATACTGGGTGATGATTGAAGGTGAAATGAAAATTTGGACTGCGGCCGAATTCGAACCACCGGTAGTGACGCATCACATTCTTATGATAGTGGGACAAAACCCATGGTGATTGAAGTGAAATAAAAATTTGGTAGGTAGTTGGACCCCGTAGCTCAGTTGGTAGAGTATCCGGCTAGAAACTCAGTGGTTGGTGGTTTGAATCCCACTGTGGTTCAAATTTTCATTTCACCTTCAATCATCACCCAGTATCAATACTAGTCTGCCAAATCACAGCTGTCTAGCTAAGATAGTCAAAATGATAAACCACATGAAGAAAACCCCGGATGTAATTGTCGTTGATGCTTCTTCAAAAGACATAATTAGTGTAATTCTAAATGGAATTTAGAGCTTCTCGCTGTGTAATGACCATAAATGCAGAAGTACGGTAATCTTTAATGATGACATGTTTGTACGCTACTTCATCGAAAATCCTGACTTACTTTATAATGTGATAAACTATGACTGCCGAAATTATCTAGCCTGATAAGTTCAATCATTCTTAGGTCATTCATCAAAATCAATCGAACTAATTATCATAGTCACACTAAACACAAATGTTTTGTTTAAATAAACTAATAAGTTAATTGATACTGAATGATGATTAAAGGTAAAATGAAAAGTTGAACTGTGATGGGATTCAAACCAGCACTTACCAGGTTTCTGGCCAAGTGTTTTATGAATTGAGCTACGACACCTCAGTAGTTCTTAATCTTGTAGCTTAGTTAGTAGAGTACCGGGTTGGAAACCCAGTGGTCGCTGGTTCGAATCCCAACGCAGTCCAAATTTTTATTTCACCTTCAATCATCACTAAGTCTGCCAAACCATAACTATCTCAGATAGTGAAAATGATAAAAAGTTAATTTCAAAATAACCAAGACAGATAACTAACTCACCATCTTGATCTAATATCTGAAATAATTCTTCAAGATCACGATTTAACTTCTTCTTATATATTCGTTCAATAACAAAAATGCATAATTCTGAAAAATCTAATTTTCCATCGCCTAAAATTATTAGTTCAATACTGATCATCAATGACAGAAAAGTAATTACGATCTATATCCACTTCAAAGATTAAATCATGCAACTCTGCTTCAGTTAACGCATCACCTAATGCTCTCATAATATGCAAGATATCACCGGCTGTAATAACATTAAATTGATTTTGAGCTAATATAGAGAATATACTAGATAATCCTTAGAAGAGAAGAAGTAACAGTAATAATAATTGTAAAAATAAAGTTGTTATACTCAGCATTTGTGTAGTATTCAATTGATGACGTGCACCGATTACGAATTTACGAACCTATACAAGAAAAACGACTATAAATTATTCATGATAATCATAAAGCAAATATTCGATAATATATTCACTGATATGACTACATCTTGTTCAACAGAGTCGTAGATTTGACTTAAAAAACTTCAAACTCTTATAATCCACCTTCTCAAGGTGTGCTAAGGAATCCTGGTAAGTATGATACCTAGATAAACAAACTATCGATAAATATGTAGATATGGAGACTGTGGGTTTCTCAAAAAGTCTTCATAACATAAATCTCTAAGTCAAATATCATTTTCAAATTATCAAACACAATCTTCGCTAGAAATCAAGGAATATCAGCAGCACTATGCAATATCTTCTTACAGTGAAGAACAATGTAGAACCAGACACAATGGAATTTTTACCAGTTTAAAAAAGGAAGCATTCAGTCAAAATTCTTCCAATAAGTTCAAAGTAAAAAAAATTAGGCCACGTTGAATAGAAACTCCAAGAGTCAACCGAAATAGGGCTCATCGAATATATCAGTACATTGATTGGTTACTGGAGAGTAACAAACAGCAAAAGCTGACAAAAGCTTTTAAGAAGATGAAAGATGAATTGATCATCATTGTTGGGTTGTTTAAGAACATTAACCTACCACGTTCGGTCATTCCTCAACTAAACGATCTCCTCAAAGTTCATGCAAGAAATATTCCTTTTAATTCAATAATTCATTTGAATAATTAGAAATATCATGGAGGTTTGTGGAGATTTATTAATTGATTTCGGGTTCATATTCATCATGGACTGACGTCAGTTAGAGGAACATTGAAAACGTGGGAGCACTGGATAGCTGTTTCGTTCTAGCATGGTACTCTTCAGCACTGCGTACCCACGACCCGGCTAGGGATTGAGTTCCAACTGGAAGCCAATTAATGAATCTCTAGAAACCTACAGATCGAATTAATCAAGCGTTTATTGGTGACTAGCTTCGAGAGGCGATTCCTGACGTTTCAATTGGAGGTTGTGACCAGTGGAGTCAACCAAGTTGAACATGTGAACAGTTACTCAACAACGACATTGAATGAAGGTCTCTCTATATCGTGAACTGATAGAAGTGGGGAGTGTGGACCATAGGATTCTGACCCGATGGCTGAATGGTAAAAGCTGATCACGGAACCTTAAGTTCCTGAGTTCGATCCTGGTGGTGCGGGGTTATGGTTTCGCACTACTGGGGAGTCCCATACTAGGACGAATCAGCTGTCCAGTACTCCGAGGTTCCCAATGTTTCTCCAACTGATATCAGTACATGGTGAACCTGAAATCAGTAAATCCCTAAAAACCTCAGAATCGAATTGATTTGGGGCTCATTGGTGACTAGCTAAGAGAGGTGATTCCTGAAGTTCCAATGAGAAGCCATGGCCAAGTCAAACAGACAGACTATAAACATCTAGGTTATGATTGTTACGAATGTCCTGAAAGAAGTTGAGCACCGAGTCAGGTTTAATCATTATATACGTAAGTTTAGAAAATCAAAACAAACTGAAAATGAGAACCAACAAACATAAGTTATGTATTAGACACCCACCAAAGAATGAAGTGAAATTAAACATTTTGGTAAAGAGATTGGCCATAGCAGTGCATGCCACTGAAAGTGGCCAAGGTAACATTACCATTGACGTATCCTTTGACTGCAGGGTATCCGTTTGTCGCCACACAACACTAATCAGTGAGTGCTATGTAAATATGAACGTATCCCGACCAACAATGGTCTAGATGGTTTGGAAGAACATGAGTACCGAGTTAGTATGATTCATTGTACAAAGTGTAATTTAACTTGAGTAATCCGAGCATAGTATATTAGAACAAATAACAAAATATTGACTATCATTTTGACTATCTGAGACAGCCATGGACTAACCCGGTGGTCACTGGTTCGAATCCGGCAGTGGTCCAAATTTACATTTCACCTTCAATCATCACCCAATGCGAATCAAAAATATGCAATTATTTTTTATCATTTCTCAAAGTTTCAATCTTGCTAGGAAGATACTTTCCAAGAGGATGAATTCGACATTAAGTTTTAGTGTTAATATTCAAGTTTTGATACAGAACGTGAACTTTACGATCATCCAATTACATCATGATATGGAACAAAGAACAATATAGTGTAATTCATTCACCTACATCATACTGATATTTGTTGCATATCACGATGTAACAGGATGATTGTAAAGGTCACTGGAAACCAACCCAGTGGCTGAAGGGTTAATGTGTTTGCCATGAAACCTGAAGGTTCTGAGTTCGATTCCTAGCCGGGTCGTGAGTGCGTACTGTCGAGGAGTCCCATATCAGGACGAAACAACTATGCAGTGCTCCCGGATTTTCAATCGTTCCCCAACTGATGTCAGTCTATGATGAATACTACCTCCATATTAATAATTATTTGTTCAGATATACTACGCCTGGATAACTGAAGTAAAAATACCCCTTATACGATGAATGTACACACATACATACAAACACCTTGATTACTGAGTCGTTTTTGATGAGAGATGACAAAGACCGCATGAATTTATGTTGACGAGTTGGAGATAAACAGTCTGAACAACAAATTAGCTAATCAATGGCGTAAAGACAGAAATTCCTACATATACACTTTGACAGTTTATACTGGTTGATGATTGAAGGTAAAGTGAAAATTTGTACCTTGGCCGGATTCGGACCAGCGACCATCAAAGTTTTCATTCCGATGCTTTACCAACTGAATTGTCTTGATGTTGAATGGAAATCCGAATATTTTACTGAAAAAGGTATGGTATACACAGTGAAAAGTTCAAAACTATCCTCTTTTGATTTTCTAAACACCCTGGGATTTTACATATGTATAAAAACCTACTTATATAAACCAATAAATTATTTATATCAAGAACTGGTCGATCGACAGCTGAGTACAAGGTTGACATTAGATATGGTTTGCATCAGTGTAAGCCACAGCATGTTTGAAATGAAATAATTCCAACTTTTCTCACAGAAGTCTGACCTTAGCTGCTACAGGGAAATAATCAAAATTAAAATATCAAGGACATATAAATGAATCGAAAGACATACATGTAATCTCATTGGAGGAATGAACCAGACTTCTGTACAAAGCAGTGGAATTATTTCATTTCAAACATCCTATGGTTTACATAAATACAAACTATATTTATATTAAGCTTACAGAAGTCCATTTTCCAGTTTTTTCTTCTTGTTGAACGTCCAAAGTATGATCATTTTTATCAGTTATTTTTTTATGTACACCACCGGGTTGAAAATTCACATAGTCTTCTGATACAGAATCCATAACTTTATAAGGATAACAAATTTTGATTTCAGTTTAGTACTAGAATTTATACTTATTATTTGTTTAACTAATCCAAGTTACTTAATTGGATTAGTTAAACAATACTTTACTAAAAGCTGATTGGTTGCATTATTTGTTGACCTTAGTTGTCTAAGTGTAGTTACACCGGCATATATGAATGCAACTACTCCATTGGATGAAGGAAATCGGCTATTATATCGTTGCTTCATCTGTCTGTCTGTATATTTTACCTTGAAATTTAGTAACCATGGTCACTAGGCATAGCAGTAAGGTGGTGACAACTATTTAGCCTCTCTATGACTGCCTAAATAGCTATTGGTGTGCTGGCGTAGAGGTGTATCACTAGTATGTCTGATCGTTTCTTTTTGATTTCCAAGACACTGAATTCGAAAAAATTGATGCTAATAATCGACTTATTGGATGATTTTTGCTGTAAATTCTGTGCCGTTGATGTGTTCAATCTTCATGTATTGGCTTGGTTGTTGCAAATTCTCTAAATTCACTTTATTATCATTATGGAATACACAATGAAAAATCGCGAAAGATGCGGAACATGCATGCGGAAACAAAGTTTCAATAACAGTACCATCTACTCAGAATCCTCATCTGTATTTCACAACCTGAAGAACTAAAAGAGAATTTTGTAGATCACTAGCTCCATTTTATAATTACAATTTAGAATCGGTTATTTTAATCTTTCGTATGGTTAGGTGTTCTATGAGGGAAGTATCATCTCGTTACTTAATCTCACTCTATCCAATGTGGTGTGAATATGTGCAGTATCCAGACAGTCATACAAAGATGAGTCTATCACACCGTAGAATCAAGTAACTAACCAAGAAACAAAAATTGTATGACAATAATCATCTGAGAAGGTAACTGCAAATCTAAAATTTTGTTTTTCACCATTTTTCAGTAAAGTTTACAAACTTTTATATTTTGACATGTGAAGAATTGATTTGGGCGTCCGAGGGAATAAAGTGAAATGGAGACGTGCTACTGAAGCCCTATGTCCCACTAGGAACCCAAGGTACAGATAATAATAAGAAAAGAAGAGTTGATTACAACGAGACGTAAATGAGTCATTATTTCATTTTGATAAATACACTCTAGAAATCTCTAAGGTTTGTCATTGCTACAATGAACTTTTTAATATTTGAACTTGGTATATAGAAACACATATAATATACCCTAACTTCAGCTGATATTTATAATTCACCGGGTTAATCATTATTAACTAAGAATAAACGAAAGTGATTTCAATAGATATTTGTATTTGAAATCCTTATAGTAATGATGGTGTAAGATTACAAGGTGTAGACAACTATATTTGTGGTATATGCTAGAACAACTGGTTTTAGGCCTCAAAGTAACTTGCTAAATCTTAGCCAGAAACAACTTCATTCAGAAAAATTGTAGGTTTTTGCATGCCGTTTATGATTGTGTCTTTACGACTCCATTCTACTCACATGATCCTATCACTTAGTGGGAATTGACTTTCCTGAATTACTATACTTAGTCTATAATAACTGACCAGTGACTTATATCACATTCATCTGTCCATACATTTTTATCACTTCCTACATTCTTCAAGGATGAGATTTCTAGTTTGTTTAAACTACCTCACCCTTGCAAAGCAGAAATAAACAGTTTTATTTATTGATAAACTTAAATAATATCTCTTCTTAACATTTCATTTACACTGTACACATTTTCCAAGATTTTCAAATGATTACTTTTGTTTATTTACGTGAAAAGATACGTTGAATCTTCTGTACATTCCTGTGTCTAACATAAACTAACAGACTGCATTGGAAATCTTTGAAGAAATGTCCCTCATTGCAAATGCATCGAAGTTCACTCAGCTGTGGTATCTCCAAACATGTCACCAGCTTACCCCACCACCTCATACACACACACATCGTTTGATGTATACAGTTTATCCAATTTTTATGTTTGGAGGGGATTTATTTATTGGTTTAGGGTTGCTCCTTATCATGGACTGACATCAGTTGGAGAAACACTGGAAATCTGGCGACACTGGATAGTTGTTTTGTTCTGGAATGGGACGTGAAGTGACAGAAGTAAGAAATATGGACCATTGGCTTAATGGTGAGGTGACGATCTTGAAACCTGAAGGTCTTAAGTTCAATCCCTGATGGTGTGAGGTCATGGATGTGAACTTCTGAGGAGTCCTATACTGGGACGAGACAGCCGTCCACTGCTGCCAGTTTCCTAATGTTCCTCCAACTGATATCAGTCCGTGATGAACGCCAACCTTGTATGGTTTAGACACTGATTTGCGCTATACTTGACTGAAGAAATTATTTCCAAACATCTCAAAATTTTAATTTCTGTCTATTGTCATTATTATGGTATTTGTCTCGCTAATTTTTTCTTACTCTATCATGTTATAGTCAGTTATGACAGCATAAAACTGACATTTCTTCTGTACTAACCGTCTTCAGTTCACCACACACAGACACACATCATTCTGTCGCTTTTGCATCCGTGCACATTGTGCTCAAGCTTGTTTCACTATGGTTGCATTTATTCAGCCTAATACTGTTTCTCTAATTATTGACCATATAACAATTTAGGATTAAGGATATTCTCGAAAAATCCCCATAAAGACAAATTATTATTATTTGTCCCTTGGGTTTCTAGTGGAAAGTAGGGCTTCAGTAGCACGCCTCCATTTCACTCTGTTCTCCACAGTCTTTTGAACCTGGCTCCACGACTACCTAGAAGCGTTCATTTCTTCCTCACACGACCTCCTCTATGTCACTCTTGGACGCCCAACTTGTCGTTTCCCCTTTGGGTTCCACTTGAGGGCCTAGCCTAGCGCATGACGTCTCCGAATGGTTTTCTCAGTGTATGTTGAATCCAGTCCATCTCCAATTTCTTCTGCATATTTACTGTGCGATAGTCTCTCCAGGATGACACATCGTAACATTTTTCTTGGGTGAACAGTGGTGGAGCATGATTCTGCTCCAGTTCTTGCAAAGACTTAGGTCACTCTTCTTTGAGATTTGACAAGGTACCCCTTCACCCAGTCGAAAGGTACCTTTCCTTCTTTCCTTCCAAACCTTCTACAATAGTAGTGTGAGCACATCCACTGCTGATGTCTCTGCGTCTGTTTTCGGTGGTTCTGGAGAAATTCCATCTGGTCCTGCTGCTTTCCCGGATTTCAGTAACTTTATGGCGCTGAGGACTTCACTTCTACATTTGTCAGATATTTTGTGTTTATTGATAGTTCTATGGCTTGTTTGCTGGTGTTATTTCTGGACGAGTTGCAGGTGATGGTCGATTCAAGAGTTTTTTGAAGTGATCAACGCATCGTTTCCTTTGTTTCTTCCATCTCTTTGTAACTAGGTTTCCTTCACTATGTTTCATTGGTTTCTTCTGTGTTGATCTCTTCCCTCCCAGAGTGTAACCTGGTTATTTGATATAATGATGTCAGGTATCTCTTACCTGTAGCCTGTTCTGCTTCACTTGGAAGTCTGTCGTAGAAGTGTCTTTTGTCTTTCCACACGCTCTTCTCCACTTTTTTGTACAGTGTTTTATACGTTGCATAAAGACATATAAGAAAATAAAATAAGTGGTTCAGTGAAAAGACTCTTTTCTGTGACTTCATTCACCGAGCTGTACGTTGTATTTATATGCAATTTTTCTGTGAGAACATATAATGTTTTATGGATGACAGCAGTTAATTAAACATGACAACAAGTAAGGTGATATATTTGATATAAAATAGAAACATCATTTTCATCCTAAAATTTTTAAGAGTAACCAAAGCAAAGTTAAATTATCATTACATATCAATGTAGGGTTGCATAGATTAGTGAGTACTATCACGATATCATTGAAATTAAGTAAAGATGATGAAGTTTGTATAACAAGTTGATCAACATGACAAGATAACTAAGAAACAAATTGCTATCAGCGTGAGTATAGAAACAAAGAATAGTTGATAATATATAAGAAATGAATGAAATGAACGAGTTAAAAGGGGAGGGATGACGCTTTGAAGTCCTAAAGATTAAGATCATGAAAAGAGTATATATTGAACTTATTTAATAGCTGTCACCAGGCGATAAACTTCACTGTTGAAGTGTAAAAAGGATTCAAATTGTTCTGTCTTGTTGTAGAACAAAGAAGAAAGACTGATTGAACTTTGATGAGGTTGATTCACAGAAAGCCCACTTGGAATAGGCAATTGACAAACTTCTACATCTGGGCGTCTATTGGTCGGAAGAAGAATTTTCTTATCTCGCTTGTTACTTGCATCCGACGCATTTTTAGCCCACATGCTATAGATGAAGGGATAAAATTCCTAAAAGTTTAATCGAAAATGGATATTCACTATGGTTCATAGATAAATACATCAAAGTGAAACCCAAAAAACATAACTACTCCTTTTTTTATAGCGAAAAAGATATTATATATGAACCTTAACTTCAAAGAGGATCTAATTGCAGACATTCCAAAGGGGAGAATTTCAAGTTCCCTGAAGAGAATGTTTTTGCAGCAACTCTTACAGTTGTGTTCTGCAGCCGCCCTTTACTTAAGAAAGATAAGATCTCGCGTCTGGTCACTTATGTGTGTGCATATCAGTCCACCTGCTTCTGTGGAGAAGGGTATATCGGTCGTTCAGTTGGGGTCGTGTTCAAAAGGGTTCAAGAACACCATCTTGCTTGGCTACAAATTGACAACAGTGGATCAATAAGAGTTGTGATAATGGGACATCCTGTCGATTCTGATCATTCACTTCCAACAACAATTTCTTTCGAAGTTATTTAAAAAGTGGAAAGAAACTTGCCAAAGTCAGTGTGCATCCATCTCCTTTGTATTGTTGAAGCTTTAGCACTTCAGATAACACAATCATAACAAATCAACCGTGGATTCGTAAAATTTATTTTGTCGTATAAAATTCTTCAACTTTTGTCGAAGTATCGAGCATGGTACTCGTCCACAAAC